CATCCTCTTTCACTGGTGCAGTAGCCATCCTTTTTTACTGATTCTGTCACCATCCTCCTTTATTGGTACAGTCACCATCTTCTTTTACTAGTGCAGTCACCATCCACTTTTACTGGAACCATCACCATCCACTTTTACTGGAACCATCACCATCCTCTTTCACTGGTGCAGTAGCCATCCTTTTTTACTGGTTCTGTCACCATCCTCCTTTATTGGTATAGTCACCATCTTCTTTTACTAGTGCAGTCACCATCTTCTTTTACTAGTGCAGTCACCATCCACTTTTACTAGTGCAGTCACCATCCACTTTTACTGGAACCAACACCATCCTCTTTTAGTAGTGCAGTCACCATCCACTTTTACTGGAACCAACACCATCCACTTTTACTGGTTCTGTCACCATCCTTTACAGTAATCATCCTCTTCTACTGTTTCTGTCACTATCCGTTTTTACTGGCCCAATAATCATATTAAATATAAAATATCATATTTTTGGTTTTCTACATCCTCTTCATTTACTTGTTCTTGTATCGTATTTATAATACAATGTAAGTACTGTCAAATAGTGATTACTGAAAAATACTGATGAAAAGGGAGATAATGCTAGCTGTAATAATGTATCGAGTAACAGAACGGGTCAGTTCAGGGGCGGTTCTAGAACTTAAAATTTGTGGTGGTAAAGTAGGGGATTTCTCAGCGGCGGCTTAAGAGACACACTCGTATAGGAGTTTGCCTTATTTGTAGTTTAATTTTTGTTCTTAATACTATTTGATTCATGACTGTAATGCAGACATTTCTGTTAATGTTGTTTCGAAAAGTTTGGGGCTACAGCTCCCCCTAAGCCCCATCCCTACCCCGCAGAAACGCCACTTGCGTGGGTCAGTACGGAGTAGGTTTATGGCTAAAAGATTGCATTAGGTAACGTATAGGGTCACTCCTAGAAAGCAGAGACAACCGATGTGATAAGCCTAAGATTGTACAGGTAACAGAAAAGTTCTGGCAAGGGGTGGAGTGATAACATTCCGAGGGTTAAAAGGTTCTGTTTAGTAACAAGAAGGTTCGGTCACAGAATAAAGGAATATGTGACAACCATCCAGATTACTAAGTTATGTTTCGTAAAATGTAAATAAGATTAGTGTAGAAAATGAAGTTTATTCATATCTGGAATATAAGCTTAATATTCGTATTATAATCTAGAACAAACATTTGTGTTTGTATTTTGTTTTCCACCACTGTTAAGGTTCAAAGTTAATACGTTGCTGATTATTTTTTTAACTCCGTTAAACGTTATGAATACAAAAATAAAAGGCCCGGCATGGCTAGGTGGTTAGGGCGCTTGACTCGTAATCTGTGGGTTGCGGGTTCGAATCCCCATCACACCAAACATGTTCGCACTTTCAACCGTGGGGCGTTATAATGTGACGGTCAATCCCACTATTCGTTGGTAAAAGAGTAGCCCAAGAGTTGGCGGTGGGTGGTGATGACTAGCTGCCTTCACTCTAGTCTTACGCTGCTAAATTAGGGACGGTTAGCGC